CTTCCTATCCTTGCGAAGCAGAATTCGCCAAGTGTTGGATTGTTCACCCACTAATAGGGAACGTGAGCTGGGTTTAGACCGTCGTGAGACAGGTTAGTTTTACCCTACTGATGAGGAGTCGCCGGTGTGGTAATCCAACCAAGTACGAGAGGAACCGTTGAGTCAGATAATTGGTCAATGCGCTTGGTCGAGGGGCCAGTGGCGCGAAGCTACCATCTGTGGGATAATGGCTGAACGCCTCTAAGTCAGAATCCGTGCCAGGTATCGGGGACGCAGAGAAAGTTTGGGTGGCCTTTGTGTGGCTAGTGAACAATTTGTTCGCGCGTACAGAGTGGCGGCTGGTGAGGGTGGGCGTAAGAGCGACCACCCTAACGACCGCTTGATCGTAAGAGAGGCCGGCTGAACGTTGAGATCCTTTGTAGACGACTTAAATGGAACGGGGTATTGTAAGTAGTAGAGTAGCCTTGTTGCTACGATCTCCTGAGATTAAGCCTTTGTTCTGTGATCTTGTAAGTAGCACAAAGAGAGCTTGTGAGCTCTCATTGTGCGACTGTGTGTGGGTGATTGTGGGGTAAGTAGGGTTTAGGGGGGTTATGTTTGGGCGGGAATGTTTTTGGAAAGTGCCCGCCCGATGGGTGTGTGGGTTTGTGGCACATGGGAGGGGGGGGTTTCCAGCCCCACCTATAACCATGTGGGATATTATTTTGTGTATTTGTCTGTGTTGTGCGTGTGTGTGCTGGGGTGTGTGGTGGGTGTCGCGGCCGGGGGGGGCGGTGGGCCCAGGCTCCGCCCCTTTTCGCCTTCTTTCTTTTTTTGTGCCGCCCTGCCGCGCGTGGCGACCACTCGCCTGGTCAACATGCTCCCCCCCCCCCTGTTCTTTTGTTTCTCGCTCGCCCCTCCTCGTGGGACCGCTGTGGATGCGAGAGGAAGAGGTGCTCTGCTCACCGCCAGCGCGCCTCTGGTCACCATGCCCCCCCTCTCCCTGGTTTTTTTTCTTGCTTTCTTGACTGGCCGTCCCCTGCACTCCATGCTCTTCCCTCGCGCGTCGCCGGTCGCCCCTCTGCCCGAATGCAGTGCCGCCGTCTCGCGAGCCGTCGAGAACGCGCCCTCGCCCATCGCCTTGCGCCGCCTGGAGGCCGACTTTTCCGCCCCAGGGCAAACAGCGTGCACTCTGCTTGTCCGTATGACATGCCAACGCACACAACCAACAGGGCTATATGCCACGGGCGCGGAGTATCCTTCGCCTACGGCCATACATACCTGAGTACATCCGAACCCGTCCCGCTCTCGGAAATTAAGCAGGTACTGGCTTGGTCAGTACTGTGGTGGGCGACCACACGGGAATACCAAGTGCTGTAGGCGCTCTTTCTTTTTTCTTTTTTCGGCCCGATGTCTGACCAGGGCGCGACCCCCCGGCGTTGGCTCGCCGGAAAGTGTGTTATTTCACCGATGTCGTCCATGAATGCCGGGGCGCGTCCGGCCGCCGGTCCATTCACCGAACTTTAGGCCCGGGGGCCTGGCCAGCCAAGAGGCCGCCCCGAGCACCCAGCCGGCCGGGCGAGGTGCCGCGACCCAGGTCCGAGGGCCGTGCGGACGTTGGCATCCCAAAATCGTGGTATTTGGCCGATGTCGGGCATGAAAGCCGAGGTGACTCCGTAATAATTGAAAGCAAGGGCCACATGGCCGGGTGGGGCGCGGGAGCAGGGTTTGGGGTCGATGTGGAGGTGGGGTTTGCAAAAGCGTGGTATTTGACCGATGTCGGGCATGAAAGCCGAGGCGCCGTTGGAAAGTGCGAAACCCGGGGTCGGTGGTGCGCAGCTCAGGCCTGTGTTTGAGCAAGCAGCCGGCCAGGAAGCCACGCGGGGCGGGCACCCCCCGACGGACATGGGTTTGGGACCACGAGGGGGCTGGGGCTGTGTAAGGTGCCGAGGGCAGGGTCTGGGAGGAGTGTGGGAGTTCGATTTCCAAAAGGGTGTTATTTTGCCGATGTCGGGCATGAAAGCCGAGGTGCCGTCGGACGGTGTGAAAACCGGGGTCGGTGTTGCACGGCCGGGTACCGCGTTCGGGGCAGTGCACAGACAGAGGGCACACCCGAGCACACAGCCGAGCGGGCATGGGTTTGAGACCGCGAGGGGGTTGGGGGCGGGTGAGGTCCCGAGGGCAGGGTCCGGGAGGAGTGTGAGGGTTCGATTTCCAAAAGGGTGCTATTTTGCCGATGTCGAGCATGAAAGCCGAAGTGCCGTCGGACGGTGTGAAAACCGGGGTCTGTGCCGTCTGGCTGGACCTTGTGCCCAGGGGAGCGGCCAGCCAGAGGGCACATTCGACCAGGCAGCCGGCCAGAGATGGGCCCAGGACTGGAGCAGGCCGGGGGTGGACGCCGGAGCTGCGGACAGGGTCTCTGGGAGCAGTGTGGAGAATGGAATTCCAAAAGGGTGTTATCTTGCCGATGTCGGGCATGAAAGCCGAGGTGCCGCCCGAGGGTGTGAAAATCAGGGTCTGTGCCACCTGCGCCCAAGGGTGCCGCGCCCGAGTAAGCAGCCAGATGTGGCGTGGACTCGGCCAGGCAGCCGACCAGAGATGGGTGCAGGACCAGACCGGGCCTGGGATGGGCGCGTGAGGTGTGGGTGCAGGGTCTGGGCGGAGTCCGGAGGTCTGAAATCCAAAAGTGTGCTGTTTGACCGATGTCGGGTATGAAAGCCGAGGTGCCATCGGAAGGTGTGAAAATCGGGGTCTACGCCGCTTGGCCAGGTGCCGCGCCGGGGCAACCAGCCAGGTATTGAGAGGACCCGGCCCAGCCAGCCGACCGGAGATGGGCCCAGGACCACAGGGGGGGAACAGGACGCCCGAGGCCGTGGGCACTGTCTGAGGCGAGCCCCGAGGGCTGGTCGGTCGAAAGTGTGCTGTTTGACCGATGTCGGGCACGAAAGCCGAGGTGCCACCTGACGGTGTGAAAATCAGGGTCCAAACCAGTTGCCCGGGTGTCGTGTCCGAGCCACCAGCCAGGTATTGAGTGGGCCCGCCCAGCCAGCCGACTAGACATGGGGGCCCAGGACCACGGAGGGCCTTGGGGCGCAAGCAAGAGCCGCGAGCAGGGTCTGGGAGCAGTGTGGAGGTGTGGAATCCAAAAGAGTGCTATTTGGCCGATGTGGGTCATGAAAGCCGAGGTGCCACCGGAAGGTGCGAAAACTGGGTTCCAAACCAGCTGCCCGGGTGCCCTGCCCGAGCGACCAGCCGGGTGTCGAACGGACCCGCCCAGTCAGCCGACTGGACATGGGGGCCCAGGACCATAAGTGGGCTGAGTGTGAGGGGGGCATCCGGCAGGGTCTGAGGTGGGTGCGGCGAGCCAGCCGGGCCAAAGTGCGTTATTGAGCCGATGTCGGGAACGAAAGCCGAGGTGCCGGCGGAAGGTGCGGAAGCCGGGGTCCGGCTGTGTACAATATTTGACCGTGATGCCCCCAAGGGTGGAGTCCCGCGAAAAGCGACCATGCGGCAGGAAACAGCCGATGTGCAGGAAAATCAGAATATGATAAGCATGGAATATATTGTTCGGATGGGGGGCGGTGAGCCACTTGCCGGAGTGCCACTTTCGCGCCTGGGACGGGCTTCGGGAGAAAGTGGGCGTCGGGCCGGGGTGCCACTTGGAAACGGGTCATTTCCCTGATGCGACTATGGCGTGCGCGGGTGCCACAGTGGCATGCGGCGTGAAAAAAGTCGCACGCATCGTCTTGGGGGAGCTTTTCCTTGCTTATGCGGTTGTGCGTCTTTCCTTCGAGTAGCATGGGGGTTCCGGACTACGGTCTTTCGAAAGTGCTCTGATTGTGCACTTGTCTTCTGTGTGCCAGTGCTCTTGGTTGCTGTGCTTGACGAGCGATTGCTGCGTCGGTCTCACTGCTGATCAATGTTGCACATGACCACCCAGGGTGCTCCATGGGAAAAGTGACCCGCCGGCTGGGCTGAGCGGGGGCGGTGGTGGGGCGCGGTGGGGGTGGGCCGGGCGAGGGTCATGGGTATGGGGTGGCGGCCCGGGGGGTGTGTTGGTCTGAGCCTCGGGGGCTGTTATGGCTATGGGTCCTGGACCAGTGTTTTTGTGGATGTTCCTCCCAGGGTGCCCTGGGGGCCGATGACTCGAGGCTGTCATACGGCCGAATGCGGCCCGGGGCACCGTTCACCGTCCTGCGCTCTTGCCCGGTGGGGGCTTGGCGCGGTCCTCTTGGGCGGGGTGTGTTGAAAGACCGATGTCGGCCGGGGCCGTACACCAGAACGCGCCCAGAAGGCGACATGAGTCTTTTGATGCACGCGCTCTGCGATCGAAGCATACGCCGCGAGATGAGCGTTCTGCTCCTTCGAATCACCTGGATGTCAGGCGCCCTGATCACCGCGCAGATATAAATGGGCATCTCATCTCCCAAATCGACATGGGTCTTCCATTCAACCGCCCCGTCCGTGGCCATCTCATCTCCCAAAAGCCCCGTCCGTGGCCACTTCATATCCAAGATCGTGGTGCCACCTCGGCCTGTGGGCTGCCGACGGAATCTCCCTCTCTGCCTGCTCATGACCCCTGCACGTGTCCGTTCCTCGGGCTTTCGACCGGCCTCGCTGCACCAAGCCGCCCCATGCGCCCCCACCTTCGTTGTGCCCATGGGCCGGGACCCTGTTTGTGTCTGACTTCAGCAACACCCCCACCCAGCTCGCTGCCCGCCGGCGGCCGGGGCGCCTCCCGCCGGGGCCCAAGAACGGCCGGCGGGCGGCGTGCCCGCACATGACCAGTCCACGTGCAAGCCCCACCGTGGGCACGTCGGCCTCTCCAACACCCCTCCGTGTCATATCCATCATCTCGGGCCTGGGGGCGACATTCGGCCGGGCGGCTTTCAGTATGTGGTGCATCATGTCGGGGCATTTGTCATTCGCGTCCGGGGGGGGGTGGGGGCTTTAGACGCTGTCTTTTTCGGATATGCGCAGCGGGCCCGGGGCGTACTTCCGATTTGTAAAACCTGTGTCGAACCCCGGCTTGTGTCCATGAATCCCCCCCATCCTCCAGTGGGACTCTCATGCCGCCCCCACCGGGCACGACCCCTTCGGGACTTACAAGAAGGAGGGGTCAGATCGGACACCGACGACGAGGCTT